TTGGGGATGCTGGAGAGGAAGGAGGAGGTGTCGGACTTGTGCATCTGCAGCTGCACGCGCAGCTGCTGCTTCAGCTGGCGCTCCAGGTCCGATGGGAGGTTGGTGCGAGCAATGTAGGCTCTAAGGGCCGCCATGTCCTCGTGCTGTGTGTTGCGGGGGGGAGGCAAGAAATGCGTAATGGGTTTTGTGAGGGGAGATTGGTGTGGGCGATGTAGGCCTTGAGGGCTGTCACGTCCTCGTGTTGCAAGTGGTGGGGGTTGTGGGGGAAAAGGGGGGAAGAGGGCGACAATTGAGGGCCATTTAGGCGTGGGAGATACGATCTCCTTGTGCTGTAAGTCGGCGGTCAAAGGAAAGGCAAACAAGGGGGTCGTCACGTGAGTGGTCGGGCCACAGAAGACGTGCAAAACGTTAAGGAGAACGCAGAACGCGCAGAAGAGGAGAAACGAGCGGAGCGTCATAGGATGGCACAGGCCGACAGGGGGAGGATAACGAATAGGAATGAAGGCAAGGGGAAGGAGCGCGACGTACGTATTGCATGGTCTTGCTGGACTGCTTGACCATGAGAAGCGTCAGTGTGCCCAGCGTGTACGCGAGCTGCGGGAGGGCGCGAGCGGACAGACATAAACCAGCGACACACGGAACAGAGGGCCGTTAGCTCGTCAAACCAGGCGATGTTACATCAGGAAACACAGAGGCGACGGGGGACACTACAGACCACACTTGCGCCACAGGCTGGGGACGTCGGCCCGGAGAATCTACGTGGAAGCCAAAAGGACAAACAGCGAAGATTCTGACAGAAAGGATCGCGGGCATTGCAGAGGAGTGTGATCCTACAGTTGCCATGCCGAAGAGCGCGTAGAAACAGCTGAAGATCTGCTCGGCCGTGGTGACAGAAGTGTAGGCGGGTCCGATGCTGGTGATGACGAAGATGGACCACCACATGGCCGCCACGTACTGCAGAAACACCGACTGCTCAGTTTGCATGGGGGGGGAGGGGGGAGTGATGGAGCGGAGACAGAATGCTCGGTCATTCAGAAGATGGAACACCAAGCGGCCGCCACGTACTGCAGAAACACGGACTGCTCAGCTGCGAAGGGGGAGGAGAGGCAAGAAAACAACAGGAAAGGGTAAAAGCGGAAGATGGACCACCACACGGCCGTCACGTACTGCAGAAGCACCAACTGCTCAGCCAACAGGGTTGGGAAAGGAGAAACAATTGAGTGTCCACATAAAAGCGCCGTACCCATGGCCGCCACGGAATGAAAGCAAGGGAGAAAGAACGCAAATGCTATTCGAGCAAAGAAGATGCTACAACTTGCAATCAGCACCAGGCGCCGCCCAAACCTGTGGACTGCAGGAGCAGGGAGCGAAGAGACAAGGGCAAGGCTCGTAGAACAAGAAGCTTGGTAGAACCAGCAGCAAAGCGGGTAATTGGCACAGAAGCATCCACGTTACCTGTTCAGGCCAGTCCGGGCCGATCCCCTGGCCGATCCAGGTGTTTTCGGGGTCGGGCTCCATGAGAGTGAGGAAGAAGTAGGCCACGGCGAAGAGGTGCGACGCCAGCACGATGTTCTGCACGTGGGGACGGCACGCAGGGTGAGTGAACGTTCATGGAGAGAGGTGGGTGCAAGCAGGAGAGTGGGTAAAAGAGAAGAAGTCGAGACGCAATGACGACGCTCTGCGTGCTCTGCGAGTCACGCCAGTGCGGAGAGTAGGACGAAAATGAGCCAATCAGATACGGGAAGGAAAGAGAGCGAAACAGAGCGAAAACAAAAAAAAGCGGAAAGAGTGAAATGGAAAGGTTCTGACAGGAGATGGCAGAGCACGGGAAGGGTACAAGAAGGAGCGAAACGTGACAGACACAGAAGCACTCCGACTTCCATGCCACCCACCAGCACGAGCTTGAACATGCGAATGCCGAAATACAACGTCTGGTTCGCCGTCCCGAGCCTGCACCGCCAAAGACGAAAAGAGGCGCAAGAATACACCGTAAATATAAATGGCTTGCGAAAACTCAAAAAGCCTTCAGACGCAGGTGCAGGATGGCTTGCAGACGCACCGTGACCACAGCACAGAAGCTGCGTGTGCACAACAAGCAAAAAAAATCGCAATGCAACAGCTGCGAGCACACAACAATAGAGCCATTTCGTATTGTATGAAGCTCGCAGTACAGGCGCTGTGTGCAAGTTCCCTACTCGGCGGATACTCACCGAGAGAGAGCACGGTAGAAGTGCATGATGCGGTAAAGGCGCAGGCAAGGAAGTCCACGAAAGACGTAGCCGACGGCTCCGGAGGCGGGCACGCCATTAACCCAGAAATAAATAAGGTTGAACGGAATGGACGACACGAGGTCGAAAAGCAGACCCCCTTGGGCGTACCTGCAGCCACAACGAGCGATTTTTCGTGTGTTCAAGGACTCTGCGATTCCGATGGAGACGCTAACAGGATTTTTTATTATTTTTTCCGATGGTTTCGAAAGAAGTCGACTGAATACAGGAGTAACCAGCGCGTCGGCGATGACAAAGACAGGGTCGAGGAGGGCAAGGGAAGGACGAAGTGAATGAAGTATACCGCGCAGCGATGGCGTTCCTCGACGTGACGAGGCGAAGGGTCTTGTGGCATCGGAAGGCCGCCTTGAAGGTGACGGCGATGTTGGCGAAGAAGACGAAACACACGGCGCCATCGAAGTAGAGAATCCCCTGAGACGGGTTCGGAACGAAGGCGAACTCCAGAGTGACCCAGAACGACGACCACATGACAAGCGCGTGAATGAGCCTGCAGAGAGAGGTACAAGACGAGTACCAACCAGAAGGCAACCAGGAGGAATCCGGTGGAGATAAGAAAGTCATAAGAGCTTCAGGCGAAAAGCGAGTACGTGACGACGAAATGAAAAATGCCCAGCAGAGCACGGCGGAGAAGCCAATGCGAGGAATGAGAGAGGAAGCCAGATCGGTCTGCCCGTAATAACTCGGGAGGCCTACAAATACTCATTCTGAGATGTTCAGGGAGACCAAGTAGGCTCGATACAAGAGTTCAGGCTGCAACATAAGCACAATAAATGAGATCAGAAATAAACATACGAAATGAAGGACACGTACACGTTCCAGGCCTTGAAGCGAGGGCCATCCGGGTGAAGGAGGCCGAGAGCGTCGCAAGTATTCCTCTCCGCAGTGATCTGATCTGCGGCCTTCAGGTCCGACGTGCACGCACGCAGGCGAGAAGTTTGGTCGTCGCTGTGCTTGCTGTTGCCGAGAGCCATTGTCACTGAATAAAATTGCTGAAACTGTTGACTACAGTAAACGAACGATATGTCCTCCTTAAATATCGTGAAGGGCCGGCGACCTCACACAGCGCTCGTTGACGCTTGTAAGGTCCCAGAGAATCTATAATATTCACGGTATTAGCTCCACGTTAACGATTAAATGAAGGCTAGCAGACTGACGAGATTCCACCTGCAAAGTTACGAACGTTCTGGTTAAGACGTTTCACTACGACAGGAAATCATCGGCTTCTCCAAAACTGGGGAACTTACCAGTTCTCAAATTAGGGAGTCGTACGAACAACAATAAGGATGGTCATTTTACGCCGCTCTAACGAAGGTATGAGGAATTCTATCCAGGATGACAGGGAGAGCGTGAACGATGAATCAGTCAGAACCCTCCTGCGGCGCATCCGATAGCTGTTAGCGGACTAGGTAGATACAGGGACTATGTGAATATTTCGAAGTGCGGAGAGGGTTTCGCATTTATAAGTAGGTGGAGCTCTCAACAACCAGGCGATTGTTCGAGGCCAGTGGCGTGAAGAAGTCAGCCGAGGGCAAATTAGGTTCCGCTATGTACGGTGCCGAAAGCTTCCGAAGAAAATGAGGGGGTTCTACAACTGGTGCAGGCAGGGGGGCTCCCTCAACAACCAAGCGAGGGTTCCAGCAAGGCGGTGACGGCGAGATAAACCTCTACACGAGCTGTCTCTGCTCCTGCAGAGCGGCTCCTTGGGCTCCCACAACAGCGCGAGCGACAGAGCGAACGAGAGAGTGAGGAGGAACAACGTTCCTGGACAATTATGGGTGAAACCCTAACTTGGAAAACGTGGTTACGTCAATGGAGGAGCAGCTCAAAGCTGCCAGCATCAGGTTTGGGGAGAAGACGGGGGGAGGGGAGATGGATGCTGGAGCCAATCAAACCTCGAGGATTGACTGGCAAGTACAGCCTCCACGGAATGCTGTGGGGTAGAATTTCCGCCTGGCGCAACCATAATTTACGGGTAGAGTAGGTGAGTGAGCGGCTGATAATGTATTTCTGGAAACTGCTGTGCCATGGCGAAATAACGGTGGCGAGTTTTTGGGTAACCCCGAACCCTTGCAGGCAGTTCGTGCTTTGACTAAAAGTGTGTTTTAGCCGCTTTTTGCTGGGTGAGTGGACTAATTTCTTCGGTACGATGAGGAGGGTGCTCCGATGGTTCGCGGTTAGTACTGCATATACAGACGAGCGACGGAAAGTATGTGATCACAGACACCCCGCAAGGGTAACCCACACACAGAAAACCCTCCTCAAATCATCAAGTTGTGAAACACCGAAACTTTCGCCTCCTAGCCACGCGCCAAAGCCAGTCATTTAATCAAGATTATCCATCCTCGAACCTGAGATGCAACCTGCGCAGACGTGACCCGTGATTTGCGGATCGTTTATGGAGATCAACCAGTGAAAGCACACGCTGTCCTGGTTGTAATGTGGTGCTGTCACATGAAAGTTTTGCACTCGAATCAGCTGACAATAGCTCGGTACTGAAGGGACGCGATTGCAGCAAAAAGACTGATGTGCTCAATCTGGAAGGCTATAAGAACCACAACTTTCCTCAAACCTGCATAGCATTTCCATGTATGAAACTAGGGAGGATACCGATATGCCGTAGGATTTGCAATGGTTCAAACTGAATTGAATTCACCAAATGAAGTACAAATATGTCCACTATGTTCTGTGTCGAACGAAAGTTGTCTTCCGCATGCCAAGCACCAAAAGAGCCCGAGCCGAGTACATGATGGTTGGTGCATGTCATTACCCAAGCAAGGAAAACCAGAAAGCTTTCCACAATTAGATTTAACATATTACACACTACAATTTGTAAATTGCCCTGCTACAGCACTACTCGGTCCTCGAATCGACCAGCCGGAGGAGTGTACCCTCCACAGACACTCCAGGGCCAAAGGCCAGTGCTAGAGTCCACTTGTCACCCTTCTTTTGACGGTTATCGCGGCGCACTTTATCGAGTACAAACACGATGGTGCAAGATGCCATGTTGGCATACTCCCGAAGGATGTCCCTGCATATCCCGCACCACATCCCACAACCACGTCAAGCTTTTAGTACAAGCAAAAGGAAAGAAAGATCAAGCAGAAAAATCGGAATAGAAAAACATCCCGGATGTGTCAAGAATGTGAAGCAGGACACATTGTGTTTTCATGTGTCCAGCGTGTGACACTGACCTGCTGACTTGGACCTGCTTGGACTTGAGCCCGCACCCCCGCTGAGTCATGTCCACAATTGACTTGCCGCCCGGGTGCACCGCCCACAGCATGTCACTGTAGCTCAGCTCGCCCACCAGGCTGCGCACAAAGGGGTTCACGCTGTTGCCCACCAGCTGCAAGGGGGCGGTGGAGGAATGGAAAGGCCAGTTGCTCATGGGAAGAAGCGGCTGAGTTGGTGGAGAGAGATACAGAATGGCTCACATGAGAACAAGGCACCAAAACGTGCAGGTCTCACCTCGGGGAGGGTCTTCTTGAGCCCCACGTCGAGCCCGTGGCACACCACGTTGGCTGTGATCACATCCTCGCTGTCAGGAATGAACGTGGTGCCGTGGCGGTGCACCTCGAACACAGGCTTCTCGTCCTCCCTGGGCTTGGAGCCCAGGATGAATGCTGGGGAGGCGGGGGAACGGGGAGAGGGGGCAGGGGAGGGGGGAGAGGGGATGGGAGAAATGGATTCCCCATCCGGAATGAACGTGGTGCCGTGGCGGTACACCTCTAACACTGCCTTCTCCCCCTCCTGGGGCTTGGAGCCCAGTATGAATGCTGCACAGGATGGAGAGCAGGAGGGAAGGTTGGGCTGCAATCTCATATATAGGGATGATTACTGGCAATAAAAGCACACTTCTGATATTATGACTATTGGAAAGGGAAAATATATATAAAGATGGCCTACCAATTTACTTTCCACATAAGTCCAGCCCCATTGACAAAGATGCAATCGACAGTCATATTGTCGATGAGGTTGTCAGGGTTGAGTTGAGAGCCTGAGCGTTCACCAAGTTGACCCATCCAACCACCCTTTGCATCTAGCCTTCCACTCACCGCCAGCACCATCAGCAAAGATGCAATCGACGATGATGTTGTTGATGAGGTTGTCGGGGTTGAGCGACTGCGCGTTCACCGAGTTGACCTCCACCGCCACACACAGCACGCGGTGTCTCGGGTCGGCAGCAGCGATCTCAGCGGCGGTGCGCAGCCCGATGACGCCCGCATGGCACCCCATGTAGCTCACGTACAGGTGCTTCGTGGTCTGGGGTAAACCCATCTGCTTGATTAGGCAAAAGTCCAGGCCTGTTTGGGGGGGGGGGGGGGGTGTTGCAGGGGAGGGGAGGGGAGAGGGAGGCGGATAGGGGAGAAAGGGAGAAGAGGGGATGCTGGTGTTGAGACAAAAGCACGCAGCGGGTAACGAGGGGTCAGCAACCGCGATGTCAGCGGCGGTGCGCAGCCTGATGACGCCCGCATGGCACCACATGTAGCTCACATACAGGTGCTTCGTGGTCTGGGGTAAACCCATCTGCTTTATCAGACATCAGACAAAAGTCCAGGCCTGTTGTTGGAGGGAGAGGGGGGGGGGAAGGGGATGGAGACGGGAGGGCAACGGGACGGGCGGGAGAAGGGAGCATAGGGGATGCTATTGCTGTGGGTTGGGTCAGCAGCAGCGGCCATCTCAGCGGCAGTGTGCAGCCCGATAATGCCCGCATGGCATCCCATGCAGCTCACGTACAGGGCTACCAGGGCAGTGAATGCCGGACGTTGAGAGAGAAGACATGAGTCATGTCCTTGCGATCACCGCCCCAGTCGCTGATAGCCTTCTCGCTTGCCTCCTTGCCCAGAGCCAAAGCGGGCTCCAGCCAGAGCTTGAGTTGCTGGTCCAGGGAGGGCGAGCCGAAGTTGGCAACTGGAGGTGCTTATCGGTGCAGTGAGGTGAGTGGCCTACTTGTGTCCCTGCTTGCGAAGCCATGGATTTGCCTACCAGGGCAGTGGATGCCGGAAGTCGAGAAGGTGATGACATGAGTGATGTCCTTGCGATCACCACCCCAGTCGCTGATGGCCTTCTCGCTTGCCTCCTTGCCCAGGGCAATGGCGGGCTCCAGCCAGAGCTTGAGGCGCTGGTCCAGGGAGGGCGAGCCAAAGTTGGCGATGGCCTCGTAGGTGTTGAAAATGTCGCTGTCGTGCACCAGGTGGCGCGTCTTGATGCCGCAGTTCTCAACTGATAACGGGGGGAGGGGAGGGGGGAGGGGGGGGGTATTGATGAGCAAGCGTGAGGCCCAGCGATGGATTCATAGGTGCTGTTAATGTCACTGTCCTTGTCCTGCATCAAGTGGCGGGTGATGACGCCAGCATTCGCAACTGGGATGGGGAGGGGGGACAGGGTGAGCATGGGACAGTGTTCAGTGAGGGCGAACAGAAGGTGGCGAATCTGCACAAAGCCAACCCCAAAGCCCAATCTCCACCAGTCCCCAATCCCCACTTACTGATTCGCTTCGAGAGGTCCTCCGTCTTCTTATCCGGAAATGGCAGCGTCGTCACAAACTTCTCGTAAAACTCCTCCTGGCTGACCTTGCGGTCCGGGTTGCTCGTCCCGATGCCCAGGATATGCGCCAAGCTGGAGGCATCCCCCCCCACGGGCACCGCGGGGCCGGAGTTGGACGCGTTAAGAGCGGATCCGTTAAGGGAGAGGCTGGCGACGAAGTCGGAGACGGCAGACGCATCCTCGTTAGAGGGCGCCGCGTTGGTGAGCACCACGGGCGTGTCGAGGTCGAGCAGGCCGGCCATGGCGGAGAGAGAGAGACGAATCTAAAGTGAGAGTTGAAGGTGCGTGCGATGTGGCTTGGCTACCCGTTTCGAGCCAAGTGACTGGAGGTAAGATAAGCGGGGGCCCAACGAGGGCAAGGAGATGGGTGCAGGTGACAGCAGGCCGGAGGCTGTGGGAAGCAGGAGCACCGGGAGCAAGGAGAAGTAGCAGCCTGAGTGAGGAGTGGGCTATAGTATGTAGCAGGAACACAGACAGGGTAAGAGCTTGAGAGATAGGAAGACGGGGGGTTGCGGTGTGTTTGCTGACCCAAACGACCGTCCTTTTTACTCGAGGGAAACGCGAGCCGTCAAGCGGAATAACCGCTTCGATACTGACGTTAGCCATCGCATGGTGCCGCGAGCTGAGACGCTTCCTCGGGGTAAGCGCGAAACACCCCGCCCGCATGCCATTGGGCGACGAAAGTAGGGTCGTCGCCCAGGGCGCGTCGAAAGACGCGAGGTTCGCAATCCGACATCCAAGCTGCGATATGTGACGTCGCGTCGCATCATCTCGCGGCGTAGCTCCTTCGATACTGACGTTAGTCCATCTCATAGGCATCATACCAGGCCATCCTTTTCAGCGCCTCCAGTCGCACTGAGTACGGCATGCGATACAGTGTCCGTGTGCATGGCATGGCGACGAAACTGAGTAGCAGGCCCTCTGCGCCATGGACACAGTAACTGTCACGCTCAGATGAGGCGGGAGGCACTCGGACAGAGCCGGAACGGACTCGCGAATCTCGCATGAGCCGGCTGTGAACCGTCGCGTCCTTCGCATGATGGCTGTGCGACTTCTCCTGCGACACCTTCAGAGCGTGCGATGCGCGACAAGGATGCGATCAAGGGGGTTGTCATTGCCTTGACCAGGGGAAGTACAGTCTCGTACAGGTCGCTTTCGCCTGTCAGTTTTGGAAGGATCGGAACCAACAGCTGTGGTGCACGGCCCAGCGGCTGTCGCTGCGCTGTCACGGGTGTCACGGGTGTCACGGGAGATAACCGGAGAAATCAGAGCTAGAGGCTATCGCAAGCGCGTGATGCGTGCATCTAGGCGTGACGCGACAAGGAAGATGACAACGACTAGTACGGATTGTTCGATTCGAGGCGATTCAAAAAATCCTGTCAAAGTCGAGGCCAGGGGAACGGCAGACGACGAAAAACGTCCTGTCAGGGAGCAGTTTTTGAGGCAGCGGCGACTCCAGGCTGATGTCATGGAGCCATGAGGAATAGCGGTAGGGAATGACCCGTGGAGCTACATACTGTACATGGGCCATATTATGCATGGCTCCAATGTAGCCGTTGAGCCGTCGTCTCAGCAACATCCATGGCTGGTACTATTCCCATTACAGTATACGAATCTCGATGTACAAATCTGGATTTTTCCGACACTCCTAACTACAGACGGACGAAATGGAGACGCAGAAGGTCCACTCACCACCACACGGTACCGCGCAGACCCATTCTAAGCCACTCTGAACCAGTTTGGAACCAGGGTGAGAACAGTAACCCTGATTCCCCAATCTCGAGCCACGTGCAAATGCCTGATCGGCGATACGCGATTCCTCGCGAACCAGGCGAAATGTTACATGACGGGTGCACTGGGCTTGAACAGTCATGACGCCACATTGGCCGCGCGTTGCTCCACATTCCAGATGGTCGAGGACCAATCATCTCCTGTTTGAGCAGCCACACAAATGTTCGTCAATGCTCGCAGCGAGGTAGATCAGCGAGCGAACCCCGGGATTGCGAAAAGCCGAATGTGATTATCTCATTATCACGAAGAGTTCGGACCTTGGCGACAGCGGCCTATGTTTGAACATTCAGTTACCAGCAAACCTAGATGTTTCCATAGCTGCCTCTCTGCAGTTTATCTTCAACATTTGCTAGTTTTCCCATGGCGATCGCCTTCTCCAGCTAGAATCCTTGCAGTTGCTATCAATGTGGTTTAACGTGCAGTCCTAAAACCTCTTGTAGTTTCTCGATCACCTCAGTAACCGTCGTCGTACACCGGCCTTGATTCGAGGATCCTCGCTGCTTTTCCGGGCATCCCCGCAGTTTAGCAGTATGTACGTGCAAGAAGTGCGATCGCAGCCACGCCAGCGAGGAACGAACGAAATTACGCCAGAGGGTGACGCGGACAGTATACCCTCCACGTCAGCCCACCCCCCGACTAACGCAATGGCCGTGAACGACGGCGAGGACGATCAGGAGCATGAGCGGGACGAAAACGGCGTCGGTTCGGGCGATATTGCGCTCGACATGAAGATGAAACCGGCGCCGCCGCGGAAACGGAGCAGATTCGAGTCGGCGTTATGGCTGCTTGCATGTGTGGCTGTTCTGGTGATCGGCGACGGCAAGCGGCATTTCTTCCAGGCGGTGCTGAAAGACGCTCGCGTGCAGAAGTAAGCAGAATGGTCTCTTCCCTTGTTTCGAGTTACATTGTACCCAACCAGGTAACTTTCGAATCGACTCGGGAGTCGTCTTCTTCCAGGCAGTGCTGAAGCACCCCCCGTGCACGAGCAAGCCCGTCTTTTTTTATTTTCTTTTTTGTATCGGTCGCTGCATAGCAGCACGAGTTTCGGACAAAACAAACCAAGCTCGTTCTAGCTCCACCTCTTCTTTCTAGCCAACACTGCTCCCAGGATGTCAGTTGAGCTCTCACACCTGGCTCAATAGGTACGTGCTCGCATTTCAGCTGACCAGACTTTGTCATCTTTGCTGTCTGCTTCCTCCCCTGCCTTTCCGACTCGTTGCTTCCATGACCCCCACCCACTCACATTTCCTCATCCCTTGCCGATCCCTCACTCATTTCCACCTGCCTGCAGCCCTCCTTGCCACTCCTTCCCCCCAGAAGTATCGGTTCTTCGCAAACGACTTTCTTCTAGGCACCTCAATATCCAACACCCCCTCTCACCAGCCATCTCCTGGTTCCGTTTCAGGCTCCCAATCACCTCTTCAGACTGTATGTGTCATGGCCAACGCCGCAGTTCCCTCGACTCCTTGCATATTCCTCTCCACCCCTTGCTGTTCTGCCTCACCCCCTTCTCCCACTCTCAGGCAGCCTTTCTTCGTGGCAAATGTGTGCATTGCAGTCGACGTGGCGCGCACTAACCCCGTTGCAGCCCCTCAATCCTCCTCAATCCCGTGCATTCCTCAATTCTCCTCTTCTTTCTTCTCCATTCTCTCCGCCCCAATCCCCCCTTCCAGGCAGCCTTTCTTCGTAGCGTGTGTGTGCATCATAGTCAACGTAGCTGTATGGCTCTACCTCACCGTTCTCATCCGCCTTGTGCTGAGGAACACACGCCATTTTGAGCTGGCTGCTCCGGGAGCCAATGCCACCACAACCCTGCTAAGCTTTATGGCCTTCATACTGTAAGTGGCCTTCACTTCACACTGTATGTGGCCTGCATACTGTAAGTTGCCTTCATTCGTCAAGTGGCCTTCCTGAAATGCAGTGTGTGTCCTTCTGCATATTTGTATTAGCGTCTTCCTGCAAAACACCTAGCCCTTTTCTGGCTCACTCTGTGTCCCACATCCTAGAAAAACTAGTCATACGGAAGTCTCCATGAGTGTTTTAACCACTGGTAGTATCATGTTATTTTGAATCTGCAGTACAATAGGACTGGTGTTCTTCCGGTTACACGCTCTGGAGTCTGGACTCTGATTCTCGTGTCTTCTAACCTGCCCCTTACCACAGATTTGCAATCGCATTGTGGCCGGTCTTTGGCTTCTTCATCATCCCCATCCTGGTATGTCCTTCACTCCTGGGCAATTGTCTGCTGGTTTCACACCAGCACCATACATTAGGGATGTGTAGTTTCTGCTTTGGGTCTAGGGCTAAGGGTGTATTCACGCTCAATGTTTCTCTCAACGTATTCACCCACCCTCTACTCAAGGCTAAGGGTGACTTCCTACACCTCGTGTCACAGCCACCTCGCGTCACACTCATACAGTTCTGCGTTAGCATCTCAAGATTCAATGTGCTTCGGCTTGGTTCACCGAGTCTGACATGAGGGCGGCTCTGACACAAGGTTTAGGAAGCATAACAAGCTCTTAGAATGCCTCGTGTTTCTGTTCCTCTATGTCTCACTGTCCATCATTGCTTACCACCCAATCATCCATCTTGCCTCTTATTTATGTGCAGTGGGTATTCTTCATGACGCTAGTGGTGATCCTGTCAACCATTCCGCCTTACTCCCCCAAGTCTGCTGAAGATATGGAATAGAGTGAGAATGTGGCCTCTTATCAGACCAGATATCCTGGCACAACTGTCACCATAGCACACTGTAGTAGTCGGATGCTGTCAAGATCACTATCAAACAATACTGTCAACGTAGTCAGCTTCAGTGCTCTTGAAACTCCATATAACATGCAGACACTTTAATATGGCAAAACTAACCACAGCCAACAGAAGATTGTCATATCATATTTGTGGAACAGAGTTCTTATCTGCGTCCTAACCAGAATGGGCCTGCAAGACCTGTATGGGAAAAGGATTTGGACAGAAAAGCATGGGGAGGAGGATGAGCTGACAGGGAGGAGGATGAGCTGACAGGCACGAGGGTGTGGAGGATTAACACACATTTTCAGCAGGCAAGCCCTCGCAAAGGGCACAGGAAACCAGGCAGGGAGAGTTGTCCCATAGAAGGATGTCGCTTGTGTACATAACAGCAAAGCTTTGCAATTCACTCCAGCTAAAAAAGGTGAGCCAAACTAGCAGTTTTCTTCGTGGAGAATCAACTTTTGATTCTGAATGAAAAAATTACCTGATCGGATGTCGCCGATGCTCCAATGTCTCGTGGAAACGATAAATATGGATTGCAACGGGAGACTACGGATCTATGCTGAACGGTTTACGAAATGGTAAGATACTCCCTGATAGCGTCAAAATCGTAAGCGGTCAACCAACATACAGGTATCTCACAAAAAAACGCTCACACACCTTAATTACGATCCGACAATAATGTTGTTGATGGGGATGAAGATGAGCTTCACAAAGAAACCGATGAATCCCATAACCACGAACCCAATGGCTGTCCTGGAAGCCACTTTCGTGAATTCTGCACATCATAGGCCAGATAAATAAAAACGATAATCTGATAAAGATCCAGGAAACCGAGTTCGGACAAGGAAAAGCAGATTCTCTGCAGAGCGGGAACTATTCAAATGTTCGGCAAGTTAGGTCACGAAGGAAGCGAGTTGTGGAGGGAAAGGGAGGACATAAGAGGGATGAAGGACGGCGCGAGGGATAACTGCGAAGTTAATCCGAACGCATGTCACGGCAAATACAGGAACGGACCTTTCCGATCTGGTTTATGACACCGCTTCACTAGTCTGATGCTGTCCTTGGCGAAGTCCTGCACCGGCTTGACGACGTACTCAACAGCCTCCATCTCCGCCAAATCTAGCAAAGGATATCAATGAAGTCACTAAACCGGATCTCGCGACGGTGGTTCCGTAGATGAAATCGTAGTGGAAGATGGCAGTCGAAGTAGGTTGTGAAATGCTGCGTGTAATAGCTGCTCAAAGACTTGGCTGCAAGAATATGCGAGTTACTGTTCAGAATACAGGTGAAACTGGCGCGGACAGGCAGGTGAAAGGGCTCCAACTCAGAGATCCAAGCTGGTTGCGAAGTTCGCTATAGGCCTTGTTTATAACCAGCCGCAATCCTAGATTCAATTGACTCCTTCAATCATATAGAATACTATAGTAGCAAATTAGTGGTATGCAACAAATATATTCTGCCCATTAAGACATGCTTACCTAACAGGAGTGATGATCCCACGTGAATGCAGAAATTTTGGATCCTGAATGACTTATTTATGCCCAATGTAGCTTGATTAGGATGCAATGCATGTATTAACAATAGTTGTCTAAAAGTATTTTTGCATCTTCCTCACCAAATTCCCCAATATGGGCTCCAATCAGGGACTCAGATTCGTTTTTGGACTCAATATGATCGCTCAGGATCCCCCCCTCGTAGCTCCCTGTTTTTCCAGGCCTCGTAAGAAAAATTACGCTGATCAACAGAGTGTTGTATAAATTTCGCGCTGAATAAAGAGGGCCAACTATAGAAAACATGCTGTTTTAAAGCCCGTGGCTAAAATAGCAGACCCTGATGCCACTTGAATTTTCAGGTGCTGAATATTGGTTAAGTATAGAAACTGTCAAACATGTGTAGTTATCATGTTTGTATAGACTGTATAGGGTCACCTTCTAGAGAGTACAACATTTAGGTATATGTTTGTGTACTCTCTCTCTCTTATTATTAAATTCTAGATTTGATATGGTATCACGAGTAGGTTTCGACCCCCCCCCCCCCCCCCCCCCACCTACCGCTTCCGCTCCTCCCGTCGCGTCTCCTAGCCTCGCCTCGCCCCTCCTGAGCCCAGTCGCGACCCCTCCCCCTAGCCCCGTCGCGCCCCTTCCAGGGCCTCGTAGCGCCCCTCCAGGCCCCGTCGCGCCCCCCCTTCCAGGGCTTCGTAACGCCCCTCCAGGCCCCCGTCGCGCCCCTCCAGGGCTCTGTAGCGCCCCTCCAGGGCCCCGTCGCGCCCCCTAGCGCCCCTCCTGGGCCCCGTAGCGCCCCTCCAGGGCCCCGTCGCGCCCCTTCGCGCCCCTCCTGGGCCCCGTAGCGCCCCTCCAGGGCCCCGTCGCGCCCCTTAGCGCCCCTCCTGGGCCCCGTCGCGCTCCTCACAGGCCCCGTAGCGCCCCGTCGTGCCCCTCCCAGGCCCCGTCGCGCCCCTCCTAGGCCCGTAGTGCCCCTCCTGGGCCCGTAGCGCCCCTCCTGGGCCCCCATTGCGCCCCTCCTGAGCCCCGCCGCGCCCCTCCTGGGCCCCCATTGCGCCCCTCCTGGGCCCGTAGCGCCCCTCCTGGGCCTGTTGCGCCCCTCCTGGGCCCTGCCGCGCTCCTCCCTGGGCCCCGTATCCACCCTCCTGGGCCCCGTCGCCCCTGCTCGGCCACGTCGCCCCTGCTCGGCCCCGTCGCCCCAGCTCGGCCCTGTCGCAGCCTCTCGGCCCCGTGGCGCCCGCCCTGCCCCTGTCGCAGCTGCCCGGCCCCTGTCGCCCCTGCCCGGCCCCGTCGCGCCCGCCCGGCCCCGTCGACCCCGCCCGGCCCTGCTGTGTCCTGCCCGGCCCCGTCGCTGCCGCCCGGCCCTGTCGCTGCCGCCCGGCCTCGTAGCTGCCGCCCGGCCCTGTCGCTGCTGCCCGGCCTCGTAGCTGCCGCCCGGCCTTGTCGCTGCCGCCCGGCCCCGTCGCAGCCGCCCGGCCCCGTCGCAGCCGCCCGGCCCCGTCGCAGCCGCCCGGCCCCGTCGCAGCCGCCCGGCCTCGTCGCTGCCGCCCGGCCTCGTCGCTGCCGCCCGGCCCCGTCGCAGCCGCCCAGCCCCTCGTCGCGCCTGCCCGGCCCCGTCGCGCCTGCCCGGCCCCGTCGCGCCTGCCCGGCCTCGACGTGCCTGCCCGGCCCCGTCGCGCCTGCCCCGGCCCTCCATACTTCCTGGTACTGTCCCCCGTTCCCCGCACCACTTTGCACCCTCCTGCACTTTCCTGCCCCGCCTTGCACCGCATTGCACCTCACTGAACCGCACTGACCGCACTGCACCGCACTGGACCGCACTGCACCGCACTGCATCGCACTGCACCGCACTGGACCGCACTGCACCGCACTGCACAGCACTACACCGCACCCCACTGTCCTCCACTGCCCCTCATGGCTGCTGAGCTTCGTTTTGATGCTGAGGGTCAGCCTCTGGAGTTCGAGGCGTGGTTGGCTGACCTTCGCCGCCACCTCACTGGTCAGCGGCAGGACGGCCACCCGCTTTCTGCACACCTAGACGGTATGCTCCCCTGCCCTGACCCCCCTGCTGTGCTGCCCGCTGATCCCACGCCCGCTGAGCGCGAGTCCACTGCCGCCGCTGCCCTTGCCCGCTCTGTCTGGCTTTCCCGCGATGCCCTTGCTCAGCTCGCCATTAGCAATGCCCTCCCCCCCCTTGAGCGCCCTCACTTTAGAACCATTTCTACCGCCCAGGCCTACCTCGATGCTGTCATCAAGCGCTATTCTACCCCTCCTGCTGCCTCAGTGGGTCGCCTGATCCTCCCCCTGCTCTTTCCTGACCTGGCGTCCTTCCCCACTGTCTCTGACCTCGCTGCCCACCTGCGCTCGATAGATGAGGCCTGGCGCGCTGCCTGCACTGATGCACAGCTTAGAGTCCACCAGCCTCCCATGACCTCTACCCTCTACCTCCTTGCCACCCGCCTCCCTGACCGCCTTGCCGCCGCCCGCGACCAGTTCCTTAGCATCCACCCTGCTGCTCTCACCCTCACCGACTTTGTTGACACCCTGACTGCCATAGAGACTCGTCACCGCTCCATAGCCCAGGCGAGCGGTACAGTACCGGTCCCTATCTTTCAGGGTTGTGCCCCCGCTCAGTGTACCTTCTCCGACGGCTCTGTCGCTGTGGCTGAGACTGCTGCTGCAGTGCAGTCCCGCTCGGGGAAGGGCCGCCGCCCCAAGGTTGGGAGCGGCGGGGGTGGCGGGGGTGCGGGTGGGGGTAGTGGTGGAGGCGGGTCGTCCGGTGCCGATGCGGACGTGGGGACCCTGCCCGGTCCAGCTGCCCCGCTGCCTCCACCGTTGCAGCAGCCGCAGCAGCAGCAGCCTCCGCAGCAGCCGCAGCAGCCGCCGCAGACGAGGCCGGCGAGTGCTCTCCCGCCTGGGTGGCCTGGAGCTGGTGGTGGTCGTGCGCGTGGTGGTGCACCGGGTGGTGGTTCTGGAGGCGGGCCCTGTCAGTACCAGATTCAGACCGGTCCTCGCCGCGGCTTCGTTTGCGGTAAGATCGGTCATTCCACTCCTCGCTGTTTTCGTCGTCTGGACGACCTGTTTCGCCAGCGCTTTGGCCCGGCGCCCGACCTCCCGGACTGGCACAGCTTGCTTAGGCGTAGCATTCGGATTTTTGACTTGGACATGGATGCCATTGTAGCAGCCTTGCATGTGATGTATGCCGATGACTCTAGTGTGCTTCCCTCTTATTACCCCGTGTTGCCTAGTGTAGCTGTGCCTAGCGTAGACTCCCCTGCTGCGTCAGGCGTAGGATCTCCTGCTTTGCTTAGCCTCGGTGCTTCCACCGCTTCACTGTCGCCCCGCGCGACTGCTGCGCTTTCCTTCACCTTGGACTCTGGCGCCTCCCGGTGTTTCTTCCGCGACTCCACGACGCTGACGCCGCTGCCTGTTCCCGCTGCAGTTACTCTTGCTGACCCCTCCGGTGGTCCCGTCGTTGCCCGCAGTTCCACCTCCCTTCCCTGTCCGGCGGTTCCTTCAGGTTCGCTCACCGATCTGCATATCCCCTCGTTCTCCAGGAACCTAGTTGGTGTCGGCTGCCTCCAGGACCTTGGCGTCACCACTACGTTCCCTGGTCACGAGCGGTATGCTGTCTGTACCGAGGCCGCCACTGGTGTCCCCCTTACCACTTTCCCCCGGGACCCGGTGTCCGGCCTGTTCACACTTGACACCGCGACGTCCCCGGCTGGGTCTTCCCCCCAGGTAGCTGCGTCCACCCAGGTTGCTGCTGCGTGCTCCTGTCGGTCCCTCACTCATCCGACTCTCCTTTGGCACCACCGCCTTGGTCACCCTGCACTCCCGCGTCTGCGTCACATGTCCCAGCACGGTCTCGTCCTTGGTCTCCCCGGTTCGTTCCCTGAGTTTCCCTCATCCCCCGCCCCACCGTGCACGCCTTGTGTCGAGGGTCGGCTCCGCCGTGCCCCTCACTCCTCCTCTTTTCCCCCTACCACCGCACCCCTGCAGACTCTGCACATGGACGTCTGGGGCCCAGCCCCGGTCCATGGGCCGCGTCGCGAGCGCTTCTTCCTAGTGCTTGTCGACGACTTCACACGTTACACCACCGTCTTTCCCCTGGAGCGGAAGGCCGACGTGCCTGACGTTCTCATCCCCTGGCTTGTCTCTGCTCGTCTCCACCGCGGTCTCCCTGCCTTGCGCCTCCACTCCGACCGGGGTGGCGAGTTCGCCTCAGGTGTCCTTGGTCGCTTCTGTCGTGCGGAGGGCATCACCCAGACGTTTACCCTGCCGGACTCCCCGCAGCAGAATGGGGTCGCTGAGCGACGCATCGGTTTGGTCATGGAGGTGGCTCGCACCTCCATGATCCACGCCGGTGCACCCCATTTTCTGTGGCCGTTCGCCGTGCGCTACGCCGCTCACCAGCTTAACCTGTGGCCGCACCCCCAGCGGCCGCAGGTTTCGCCGACCCTTCTGTGGACCGGGTCCCCTGGTGACGCGTCTGCGTTCCACGTCTGGGGCTGCCTTGCTCACGTTCGTGCCTCTGGCACGGACAAGCTCACTGCCCGCACCCTCCCCTGCGTCTTCCTTGGTTTCCCCCTTGACGCGTCCGACTGGCACTTCTACCACCCGCCGTCTCACCGTTTCTTTCACTCTCGCGACGTCACCTTTGACGAGTCCGTCTCCTTCTACCGCCGCTTTCCCCACCGTGGTCCCCCGGTTACTCCCCCCCTGTTCCTGGTTCCTCCCTCCCTGGTGGCCCCTGCCCCTCCCCCCCCC